ATGGGAGAAAGTAGTGGCCAGCGATGGACAATACTTTGAATCATAAGTGTATAACCAGTTTTTTACAATAAAGCCTCGAATTTCGGAAAAAAAACAGTGAAAGCAAAGTTGTACACTTAATATATATATATATGGTATAATACTCTGGTATTACGGAAAAATTATGCGTATACTGATATTATGAAAATTTTGATTGAATACTGGTATTTAACATCCAATATTGATATTTGGATCTCGATTTTGCGTATACCGCTATAGAATATCGGTTTTTAGTCCCTGATTTATATAATACTGAAAAATTAATGTATTGATATATTACCGCTATTTTTCATATCGTTTTAAATTCCTGAATATAAAATAGTAGATTATAATAGAGTTAAGTTTACATTAGTTATATTCTTACAAGATAGGTAGAGGAAAGTTAAAATAACGAACTTTAGAAGGATATTATAATTGTAGCAAAAAGTTTCTGAAATTTGATTTTGACGAATATATACCATTTTCATATAGTTTGAATAATAAAAATTGTATACAGAATCTTATCATTTACTCATAATTAAAATGTAGAAATGTACTTTTGAATTTCTATTGCTAATTATTTCTGAAAAAAATGAAAAATTTTTGACAGTATCTCAAATCTAACCTTAAAATCTTTATATTTTAAACTCTTATAACTAAGTTGCTTCACAGTGAATCTATTTCGGATTTTGTTATAAGTATCTGAATATGTAAGAATAATAATCTGTAAAATTTTTGTTAAATTTCTAATATTTTAGAAATAGATATTAAACATCCTTTTTGGACATTTTGGTAAAATGTTTTATTTTTCTTTTCCTGCAGAATAAGATAAGTGCTGCTCGAAAAATATAAATTCTTCTTCTTTTGTCAAAAAAGATGTAACATTATTGAATGCATTTGTAATTCAATCAATTTTAAATTCCATGTTCACTACATGAATTCACTGCGAATCCGTTCCGTTATTAAAACCGCATGGAGTATTGGAGAAACGGAACGTACCCTGCACTCCATACTCCCATGCACTAAATACTTATGTGCTTCATATAAGAAACGGAACGCACCCCTAATGACACGCAGTGACACGTGGTTGAATAGAAAATCGATAAATCCAAGTTGATCTAACTGTTTAGCGATCGTTTGTAAAAGTATCGTGTATTTATAACCTTGCCTGAAAATACACATAAAATTGGCACAGAATTGTTCGATCACAAGACTCGTTCTGGTAGATATGTAGAATACAAACGAGGTTAGCTTAATCACTTTCTAAAATTTATACTCCTCACTATTCTTCAGTTTGTCAGTTTCGATGCCATGAAACGCTCTCGTATCGCGCGAATTTATTTTTAATCATCATCATTTTAGGTTAGTGCAATTTTATAATTATACTGATTATGTAATGTTTTACTGATTATGTAATGTTTTACTGATTATGTAATGTTTTCTAAAGTATTATGTTTCTAAAGTATCTTAAGAGAAAATATATTTTACAATTCGTAGTTTTTTTTCTCAGTTAAAAGAAAAGGACGATCTGTCAACCGAATGGCGATGTTTACATCCAGAAGGCTGTTCAAAACCGTTGTTATTGGAACAGTTGGATTGGGTACTCTGGCATCTCTTAGAACAAATGAGTATGATATCAGTGCCATTGGTATTGTACGCTTAAGCCGTGCTGCACTAACAGTGTTTGACATAGGCCGTTATTATAAGAGAGAATTATATGATAGTAAATTGGATAAAACATCACCGGAGTACTTGCAGCTGAAATCAAATGCTCACAAGTATGGAGCGCAGAAACTCTTAGAGCTTTGTTGTACCAATAAAGGAGTGTACATCAAGGTAGGTCAGCATATAGGTGCGCTCGATTATCTGTTGCCCCAGGAATATGTACACACCATGCGTGTACTGCATAATGCGGCACCTCAGTCCTCGTTCAATGACGTACTTACCGTTATTAAGGAGGATTTTAAGAGGTCTCCGTATGAGATATTTCAGAGCATCGACCCAGAACCTCTGGGTACTGCTAGTCTCGCACAGGTGCACAGAGCCATGCTGAAAAATGGCGATGTGGTAGCCGTGAAGGTACAGCATCGTGCAGTCAAGAGTAACTCTTATGTTGACATTAAGACCATGTCGACTTTGGTGCGCATTACGTCGCTGATATTTCCGGATTTCAAATTTGACTGGCTAGTCAAAGAGACAAAGAGGAACATTCCTCAAGAGTTGAACTTTACTCAGGAGGGCGAGAATGCCGAGAAGGTACAAAGGCTTTTCAAGAACTATCATTGGCTAAAAGTACCAAAAATATACTGGGACTTGTCGTCATCCCGCGTGCTCACAATGGAGTTCCTGGAGGGCGGACAAGTGAATGACCTAGAGTACATGCATGATCATCAGTTGAATCCATACGAGATCACCAGCAAGCTCGGTCGTCTGTATAGCCACATGATCTTTATTGAAGGTTTCGTTCATTCGGATCCGCATCCCGGTAACATCCTAGTGCGCAATCGCGACTCCCAGGCGGAAATCATTCTGCTGGATCACGGTCTTTACGCCGATCTATCCGATCAATTTCGCTGGGACTATTCAAAGCTATGGCTGGCGATTCTCGACAGCGATCGAGTAGCTATGAAGAAATACTGCGGTCGTCTCGGTGTTGAGGATTACTACGGTCTGCTGTCAGTTATGGTGTCGGGCAGAACTTGGGAAACGATTATGTCAGGCGTGCGTAAAACTCGCTATGACATTAGCGAGAAGGAGATGTTTCAGCAGAATGTCCCAAACTTGCTGCCGCAAATCAGCAATGTGCTGGACCGTGTCAATCGGCAAATGCTGTTGATTCTTAAAACCAACGATCTCATGCGCTCTATCGAGTATTCGCTGCATACTCAATCCAGGATGACGGCCATAATAGAAATGTCCAAGTGTTGCGTGCGTTCTGTATATGGCGAGAAGTTCCGACAATGCTCGAGTGCATGGGATAAATGCTGGGTGTCGTTAGCTGAACGCTGGGCGCTTCTTAAATTATCATTCTATTATATGTATCTGGGCCTGATACACTTCGACCTAAACAACTCGGTCAATTCTCTATGGACAAAGGACTTTTATCCTTTTTAACAAAAAGCCAGTCTATCAATTGAATACGCTTCTTGTAAATGTCTATATTAAAAATTTTTTTTTTTTTCCAAGAGAAGTCTATTTATTTTTTTTTACTGAATGTAAACAATTCATGTATTTGTACATAGTAACCTATAAAAAATGTACATTTTATACATCAGTTTATCTTTTAATTAGTCATTAAAGTTGAAGAAAGATATAACAAATTTAAGTATTTTTGTAATAAATAAATCTTTGTTAAAAGAGTCGCTGTTTATTATATACATATATAATTACAATAGGAACAAAAATATTCTAGTCATAGATTAGTTTGTTCTAAGAACTTTGCTTTCTTTAGCTAATTGAAGCTGCTCACGATATCGCAAAACTTCCACTTCTCTATCCTTCAAAAACTGGTTATATTCTTCTGGATCTATTTCACGCACGATTTCGATGCCACATGTATGAGCAATGCCGACAATCATTTGACACATTTGTTCTAAATTTAACAATGCATTGGGTGGATCCTCCAGCTTAATTTTGGCGATCTCATATAAATGTTTAAGAGTTATCTTGCCAGCTACTTCACCTACAAAAAGATATTCATGAATCTTTTTTATTATCTTCTCATATATTCATGTTATATTATTTCTCTATTGAATATCAAGGAACTACAACAATTATTTTATACTCCAAGGGCAAAGCAATAAATTAAGGATAACATGATTATCACCTCTCTGATTTTTTGATCAAATCTGTAGTTAATTACTCAAAATCTTAAATTTTTTGGAAAGAATTAAATTTGACTTTTTTTTTTTAAGCAAATATAAAACTAGAAATTTTGATAATAGCAATTAATTTTTGCCACGAGGATCAAATCTGGTAATGTTGTTTTTCATTTTTAAAGAATACTACAAGAAAATTGAAGGCAATTTCGACAGTCGATCTACAGTGAAACATTAATAAAAAAGTAGCTGCGACTGAGAATTTAAATTATCAAGTTGAAAGGAAGATTAATACTCGTACCCTTCTTTATTCTTCCTTTCTGTATTCCAGCAGCCTGTTTCAAGTAATATGTTGTCGGTGGTTTATGGATTACTAGATCATATGATCTGTCAGACTTCACTTTCACACGACATGGTAAAGGAATGCCTTCCTTGATATTGCCTGTCTTATTATTGAAATCCTTGCAGAATTTTTCGATGTTGATGTTCCTCTGGAATCAAAATCATCCACATTAGATGCTGTTGAAGACGAGTAGATCTTGCAAATCTAGCATTATTACTGTCAGAAAAAAGATTAGAAATAAAATTTAGGAGAGGACAACAAATTTTTACAACAAAGGAATTAAGAGAGAGAAAGAGAGAGAAAGAGAGTACAAAGAAATCAAATTTTTTTTTTCTTTCTATTGAAGTTCAGCGTGATTCTAACCTGACCGAGCTGGGAGCCAAGTGGCGGTGCGGCTGATGCCAATCCCGCGGGAATATTCACGCGCAGTTTTGACGAGTGATCGACTTTCTCGACCACCTTCTTGCCCATCTTTCCTATTTTTTTCATTTTTCCCAATACTTTCGACATCTTTCAATTTTAATATATGCACTGCCAAAAAACATATGTTTACATTCCTATAACCTAGTTTACCTAAAGATCTATTCTTTTTATCTCAACTTCTTGCATGAGCAAATTTAAATTTAGCAAACCGAACAGACTTGTAGAAAGTGAAGAAGCTGAGTGTAAAAAGTGCAAACACGCGAACAGATCTAATCAAAGATGATTGGTCCTTATCTTTTGATCCAACCAATCATCGATTGCTATTTGGTCACTCATGTTCTTGCGTATGTTTAATTGCTGCAGCCAATCAGAGCTTGACTTTGTAGACCGCCGTTTTCAGGTGAATTGATTTCAATACTTGTTATGACAGTAAAACTCAGTTTTCTGCATATTAAATAATTAATACTCTATTGGTAATTACTTATTATCATTTATTATTTATTTAATTTACTTAATTTATATTAGAACTTGATTATTTGCAATCATTTCAAATTTTATGTCAAGCACGCGAGCCATATATATTTTAAATGTTGTTTTAAAATGGCGAAAAATAAGGTCAGTGCGTGGCTATGCGCAAACTTCTTGCTTTAGTTACGAGCAGACTGAAGCATAGCATGGCATAGCACTTGTCTACTTGTATCATGCTATAAAAGTAGCGGATAGTTACAACATAAGCAAGTTTCATTGATATCAAATCTCGAAAAATCCGACAAATAATTGACAATATCAGAGATCTCGTTATCGCGAAAAATTATCATTGTTTTCTGGATTGATTTCGCACAGGATGACGGGTTGTTGCGTCCCCGGTTGCAACAATTCGAATAGAAAGGGATTTTTGATGAGAAACTTTCCTTCAAACCCTGATCGGAAAAAACAGTGGATCGCCAGTATTGGTAGACCGAATTGGACACCCAGTATGCATAGTCGAATATGTGAGGTATGATTTATTTGAATTTTTATTGTTACTGTTTGTAGAATGGATTAACGAATCTGTCTATTTATAAACAGATACATTTCACCAAAGACATGTGGGAGAAAGATCGTTGTGATGGCAAACGCAAACTAAAATATAATGCTGTACCTGTGATTTCTTCTTCTGTGCCACACATTGTATCTGTGCCAGAAGATATTCCTGTGCCACAAGATGTTTTTGTACCACAAGATATTTCTGTGTTACAAGATATTTCTGTGCCACAAGATGTTTCTGTGTCGCAAGATATTCCTGTTTTATCAGAAAATTACAACAAAAACAATGTCATAAACATGCTTATTGCAAGCATGACAAATGAAGGAAATGTAAAAATAAATTATCAGTATCAATTACACTCGAACAATATTAAGCAATTAAACGATAAACAACCGGAAGATCTTTTAAGTATGTTTACGAACGTTAAGGAAGAAATAGACTGGAAAAAACGATGTCAGGAATTGAAGCAGTTGTTGGTAAAGAGCAAAAGTAAGTGTGAGCAACTTCAAGACGCTATGAAAAAACGCGAAGAGTTGTTTAACAAGATAATAAGAAAGAGTTATCTATACAAGATAAGATCAGAGAAACGTTTGAAAAAATTGAGGCAAGAAAATCAAATTTACAACAAGTTAAGAGGTAGATTAGGAGAAGTCTTCAATGAAGATCAGATTAGGGTTCTCACCAATCCAAAAATGAATTGCCGAGAATGGTCCGATGAGACAGTTAAACGAGCTATTCAGTTAAGACGTGCATGTGGCAGTGTTGGGTACCAACAGATTCTAGAGCAACATATTCCTTTTCCCTGTGAGCGAACGCTTCGAAGAAAAATACATAATGTTGAATTAGATAAAGACACTGAACATATTACAACTGAATATCTTACAACTGAACATATTACAACCGAAGAAGCAATTAACTTATTTGATAACAAGGAGGAATTATATTGAATGGTACAAATTGCTAGCTGCTTTGTCTCTTTCTTAGTTATTTAACATTGTTAAGTTATATATATTTATTTTTAACCTTTTAAAAACTAAACTGAGTTCAATTTCCAATTGATTGTTAGGTAACTCTCGTTCTAAAGGAAAAGACCATTTTTTCTATGGAGTTGATTGTGGTGTGATCTGTACAATTGTTAATAGATAACTAAACTTAGTGTTCATTCTCTCTTACATGAGTTGCCATTTTAGTTTCTTGAAATTAATTTTGCGTCTATTAATCAGATAAAATTAATTACATGTTTAGATAAGTTAAATTATTTTAATTACATTAATTACATGTTTAGTAATGAGTCTCAGATTTAGCTAGTCATTCAATTCATAACATTCAGCACAGAAAACTTAAATAACTTAAATTTCTAAATGGATCTAAATATAGAAACTAATCATACTAAAGGGTTTAAGTCTGTATCAAACTATAAACTGAAATTGAGATTGGATTGAAATTTAACCATTTAGAAGAAAGAAAAATAAATATTAAGTTTAGTAAAATTTGATTTAATTAGTCAAATTTAATTTCAATTTCTAGTCTGATACAGGCTTAAGATTTTTTAGTATGATTAAAGTATAGTTTCTATATTTAGATCCATTTAGAAACTAACAATAAACAAAGTAGACAAAGCAACTAGTCAGGGAGTTGATCGTGTATCTTGAAAGATTAAAATTACAAAAGCGAACAAATTCACTAGAATATTTATTTCAGTGGTCAACATACTTAATATATTTGACTTATAAATTTGACTTGTAATTTTCACTAGTTTTCACTTCGTTTCAAAATACACAATCAATCGACTGTTCACAGAATGGTTGAATACAATTGATTAATCTATAAATAAGAACTATCGTGTTTAACCATTCAGCATATAATATAGTTATTTTATCAACTTGATCTCATTGTTAATATTTTATTAGATTTTACTAAAATGAAAATTTCAAAAACATCAAATATCATTTTAAAAGATAAAAATTGATACATTATTAATAACAATTTTATATTAATATCAAATATTACTTATTATTTCTAATTATGGTGTTGTATGTGGAAGAAGAATTATTTCTGTATTTTTTTCTATTTAAATTCTACAGATGATGGATGTATACATGTTCCAATTGAGAATCAGAGAATAGTGCAACCATA